AGATTTGCCTTTGAAGTGTTCAAAGGAAGATAAATGTGCATTTTTTACACGCACAGAAACACACACACGGATATATACACGTATATATATATATATATATATATATATATATATATATATATATATATATATATATAGGTAGGTAGAAAGGAAACAAACGTCTCTTAGGAAGTCAAACGCTAAAAGCTCAATAAAATAAAATTATGAATACCAGCACAGACACATATATATAAATACACGGATATATATATATATATATATATGTGTGTGTGTGTGTGTGTGTGTGTGTGTGTGTGTATGCATGTGTGTGTGTCTGCGTGTGTGTATGTATACATATACATATATATATATATATATATATATAGAGAGAGAGAGAGAGACAGAGCCGTGTATTTATATGTGTCTGCGTCAGTATTCATAATTTTATATATATATCTCTCTCTATATATATATATTTATATATATATATAAAGATGTCTCTGTCTATCCATATATATATATATATATATATATATATATATGAAATTGACAGATAGATAAACACAACTTCGCAACCTAGCAAGGTTCAATTATTCCTTTAAGAAATGCATATATCCCATTGTCCAGATCATCTCGAAAGCCCATATCTGCTCCAAACCTAAACAAAACCTTCTCTAAGGAATCAATTTTTTTTCAGTCCGACATTAAACAATTCCACCCCCTGTTGTGACCGCAGTCCATTTTCAAGCAATTCCCCACCCCACACACTCTTGTGACCGTGTTTCGTTTTAGAAAGCAGCCAGAATTTTAAATTTAGATTTTCAATATTATATATTTTCTCTATATATTATAAATATACGTGAAATTGTTAGTTACTAAAAAGACACAAGGCCAGGGCATTGGAGCACTTCCTTTTTTTCTTCTTTTTTAATCTGTGAACTTCTATAACTTCCTAAGGAAGAGCGGGTAATGAATGTCAGTCGTTTTCCCTACGGTTTTGTATTCAGAATTGTCCTTCTAGGCTGGCTGTCATTCAAGATTAGATGCTTAGATGTAGCATAAAGCCTGAAATTAGGGTGCACCCAGTGAGGATCGAACTCACTACTCAGTTGTATTTGATCTTACGAGATAAGCTTGCTAGCAATTATACCACATCGAAGTGCACCAAATAGATATTTACTAAGCGTAGCTGAGGTGTGGCACAAGGCCGAATGTATCGAGCATCCAGTGAGGATCGAAACAAACTTGCTAACAATTACACCGCGTCAAAGTGCCTTTTAGTGTAAATAATTGCAATACGTCATCTCAGAAATAGAGACAGATCCAGAAGAAGGCCGGCGCGTACAACGGTCGAAACCTCGTGAATATGACAATAAAGTTGAGGACAACAGTCTGAATAGTGTAAATAGTTACAATACGTCATCTCAGAAATAGAGACAGATCCTGAAGAAGGCCGGCGCGTACAACGGCCGAAACCTCGTGAATATGACAATAAAGTTGAGGACAACAGTCTGAATAGTGTAAATAGTTGCAATACGTCATCTCAGAAATAGAGACAGATCCAGAAGAAGGCCGGCGCGTACAACGGCCGAAACCTCGTGAATATGACAATAAAGTTGAGGACAACAGTCTGAATAGTGTAAATAGTTACAATACGTCATCTCAGAAATAGAGACAGATCCTGAAGAAGGCCGTAACGTACAACGGCCGAAACCTCTTGAATATGACAATAAAGATGAAGATAATAGTCCGAATAGTAAATAGTCACATTGTTCTTGCTCTTTTCTTTTTATCTTTTTATTTTTTCATCTTATTTTCCCTTGTCTTATTTCTCAGTTTCTTTCTTTCTTTATCTATTTCTCTCTCTCTCTCTCTTTCTTCTTTTCAAAATCTTTCTTTCATTCGTTTATTTTTAATATTTCTTTCGTTACTTTCTTTTTAACAAGTATTTTTTTCTTTCACCTCAGCATTTGTAATCGGCTTTTTTGTCTTTTTTTTCCAAACTCTTTATTTCTTCTTTTTTTTTTATCCTTCTTTTAACTTCTTTCCCTCTATTTTCACATTATTTCCTTTTCTCTCTTTAATAATAAGTCTGATAGGTTCGATAAGGTCAATATGACCTACAATCTTTTCTTAAATGGGGCAAGGAATGGCTTGTTAACGCCTACAACACGAAACAGCTCTCTTTTAATCGTCTCCAAGAAACTTTTTTGTCTTCCAGCAACATGGTTGATGATAATTACAGCTTTGACAAGACACAAACAATCTCAGGAGGAATTTGAATTCCGTAATTGCTGTGAAAACCTTTGGCCGACAAAGAATTGATACTACGACCGATCACTGGCAAGCAGCTACGATTGCCATGCATAACAGATCAGTCGAGAAAAATCCTGATATACTGAAAAGGTTAATTCATTGTATTGACATTTTGGTCTATCAAGAATTACCATTTCGAGGAGATGATGAAAGAGAAGAATAAAGTGGAATTGTCTGGCTATATGTGAAGCAGTAGCAGAATATGGTGATTATTTAAGATCGCGTTTAGATTTCGTGAAGAAAAACGGCAACTAAACATTTTGTGGACTTTCAAGTGACATTCAAAACAAGATCATTCGTTTTATTGCTGCTGCAACTGAAAATGAAATTAAAGCAATGATTGAAAAAACATTATTTGTTGCTGTTTGATGAGACAACAGATCTTCGGATGAAATCTCAATTTTCACGGGTTTTGCGATTTGAAGGAAACGAGTCGAGAATTGTTTTGGGGATATATTTCTGTCGATAAAGATGAAAGGGCTGCATCACTGACACAAGTTTGAAAATGTATTTATGAATTAAACAGTGATCAAAAATTCATCGCACGAACTAATGAAGAAGCAAGTGTGGTGTCTGGATATTTGAACGGAGTGCAATCAAAAAAAGGTGATTTTTGGCGCAAGTGTCATATTTATACATTGTTATACACATTCACTTCATTTGCTACTCTCTCAAGCAATTATTTGTCAATGATGAATTTTCTTCCAAACTTTAAAAGGAATTTCATTTTTTTTTTTTTTTACTCCAAATCGACTGCTTGAATAGAACTGCTGGAAGGTGATTTCCAAAGTTATCTGAGACACGTTTTTAATTATTCATTTCGATAAGTATCCATTTTTTAGACTAAATTACTTTTTTCTGGGCCATTTTCAACAATATTAGAAAATCCAGAAGATTGGAGAGCTACAGAATTACCAAGGAGATTTGTTGCATTCTGAGATTTTTCAGTTTATTTTTATTAGTGGTTTTTGAAGCAATATTGAGTGGCTCAGAGATTCTGTTTTCGATTCTTCAGGTTTGAGATCTTCCAAAAATAATTTGTTAATATGAATATCTACAAGTTTGAGTAATTTTACTGCTGGATCATGGATGCTGACTGTGAACTACCAGAGAATAAAATCTGTTATCATAGAACTTACGTTTACATCTCGCCAATTCAACTGTGCATTGATGAGACCTAGCCGCCAATATAGTATTGCGCTTAAATTCATAAAATCAAGGTACCATAGCGAAGAGCTCACCCGAACAATTACTATGGAAGTATTTATAGAAAAGGCACAGGGAACCAACCAAGTGACTGAACCTGAGGCGCCCGGTTAGGACCAATATTATTGCTGATTCATTTTTGGATTTTATCACGAATCTCTAAATATATAGCGGTTGATATCTTCATAACTAACCGAACTTATGAGTATTTTCGTCTTTAATCAATTCTTTATCGCCGAATTTCCGAAACAAATACACTGAAAATGAAAATATATTCTTTCTTTTCTTTTTTTATGTTGCATCGATCTTTTCATCCATTGTTTGATTTCTTGGTGGAACTTTTTTGGTTTTGAAGCAATAAACTGACGACATCCCTTTTTCAAGGGCTTCAATATTTACGAGACTTCATCGACGGGAAACTGAGATATCAGAGACGACAACACGTGATAATAGACCCAAGGAAACAATATATTAGCTATTTGTGTCGCTGCCATCATCTTTAGATCCAGACACAGTGAAGGATTTATATCCAGACACAGTAAAGGTTTTTGATGCAGACAAAGTGAAGGATTTAGTTCCAGACACCATGATGGCTATAGATCCAGACACTATGTGATTTAGATCCAGACACAGTGAAGGTTTTAGATCCAGACATAGTGAGGTGTTTTAGATCCAGACAGCGATTGTTTTAGATCCTGATGCAGTGATGATTTTAGATACAGACACCATGATGGCTTTAGATCCAGACACAATATGTGATTTAGATCCAGACACAATGAAGGTTTTAGATCTAGACACAATGAAGGATTTAGGTCCAGACATTGTGAAGGTTTTAGGTCCATACACAGTGAAGGATTTAGATCCAGACACAGTAATGGTTTTAGATTCAGATACAATGATGGTTTTAGATCCAGACACCATTATGGCTTTAGATCCAGATACAGTGAAGGATTTAGATCCAGGAAATAGTGATGGATTTACATCCAGATACAATGAAGGATTTAGATCCAAACACAGTGAAGGATTTAGATCTAGACACAGTGATAGTTTTAGATCCAGACACTATGATGGCATTAGATCCAGACTCAGTGATAGTTGTACCTTACACAACATACTTTTCAATGTTTGTTGTCTCTTTTCAATGTTTTAAAAAGCCGTCAACGACATCACTTCATCAATTGTTTGTAGATTAATTTTTAGATCATCGATGCAACTCATATGTCTTCATCAAAAGAAAAATAATTTAAAAACACTGACTGACTGCAGCGGGAAAGTCCGCGTTATCTCGTTATACTACCGGAAAACCATAGCAAAACGATGTCATGAAGTAAATGAAAGAGAGTGTCGGAATAGGGAAGAACCTCATCGTGCGCTAAAGCAGTTTTCCAAGGCTCAGAGTTGATATTCTGGTTTTTAGTTTGATTACATTGCTAGATAATTGATTATGGATCAAAATGAGAGGCTGAAGATGTTCCATATAAGAACAGAGATCAGTACTGCTACAGTGTATAAAGCGTGTCTTTGATGAGGAGGATAATAAACACCAGTAGAAAGAGAGAGAAACAGACAGATAGATAGATAGATAGATAGATAGATAGATAGATAGATAGATAGATAGATAGATATGAACAAAGTAAAAGAAATAGATAGATAGATAGATAGATAGATAGATAGATAGATAGATAGATAGATAGATATGAACAAAGTAAAAGAAATAGATAGATAAATAGATAGATATGAACAAAGTAAAAGAAATAGATAGATAGATAGATAGATAGATATGAACAAAGTAAAAGAAATAGATAGATAGATAGATAGATAGATAGATAGATAGATAGATAGATAGATAGATATGAACAAAGTAAAAGGGATAGATAGATAGATAGATAGATAGATAGATAGATAGATAGATAGATAGATAGATAGATAGATTTAACTTTAAGTAAATAATTTTAACAATGTTTCATTAATTCATTCATTCTTTTCAAGGTAATTTTCTTGAGCGTTAAGCTATCTACCCATCAGACACTCGAATACACGTCCAATGCGCGCATGATTGCTCATTGGACGTGTGCATCTCCCTACCAACGATATATAAAAAGATGGCAAACATACGCGCGTATATCACAAACAAAGAAAGACCTAAAAATAAAAGGGGAAGGCAGGTGTTCGATTAAGACAGGAAGAAAAAATATTAAAGTCTTCAAAGAAAACAAAAACATTTCCTTTGTTGTTGGAAAAAACAAACCAAAAGAAGATTAAAGTAGAAATGTCGAAATGTTTTGATGTTAAAACGAATTCCTCCACAATAATAATAATAATATTATTAATAATAATATATAAGATACATAAGGGGAATTGTGAATAAGATAGCTTGACAATCATTACTAATACGGTACCAACAAAAACAACAACAATAATAATAATAATAATAATAATAACAAAAAATAATAATTATTGATAAGATACCTAACGGAAAGAGCGACTAAACAAAAAGTGAATAAAAGCAACAATTACTAATGCTATAACAACAATAACGACAACGACAACAATAATAACATAAACTAAGATAGTGAAAAGTGGGGGAGGATAAGAGTATATGCTGCAATGCTATAATTTATTTTATTATAATAATAGAATACAAATGAAAATAAGAGAAACAAACAGGAGCAGTTGTGCAATGGAAACTGTGCAAACGGCTTCGGTTGAACGATTTAAACAACTGAAATTTATGACGCACATTCTTGAAGAAAGAGCATCCGATGGAATAAGTAAGGAACACGAAGGTTGAATGGGGTTTATAAGAAGAGACGATCTAAGAAGAAAAGGAAGAAAAGGTATGAATTAAAATATATATATATATGTAAAAAGAAAACGGTTTCAAAAAAGATACTTTTCGATTCTGGGTGAACGAGTGCAATTCCTACATTTATGGGAGTCAAATAATGGAAATGGGGATATGAACAGTCATATATATATATATTCATTATATCTATATCTTTTATCAGTTTTTCAAATGTATTCTTAAAGTTATTACAACTTTAAAACCTCAAATGATTATCACTATATATAGTGAGATATATAAATTATATATATATATATATATATATATATATATATATAAACGTCCAGCTTCGCGAGAATACCAGGATGTAGATAAAGTGTAACGCCCACGGCATCGAACCTTATCAGCGGTAACCGATTATGTCACCCAGTCGTCGGTCCTGAAGTTCCTTCAGGCCGCCGTAGTACCCATTTAGCTGGCTCTTCGCTCGTTAGCGTGTCATTCGTTTTGTCGCTGATATCGTGATGATGAGCACGGTTCCACTCGACTTAGCTGGCGTTTGTCTCTTCACGACCGTTCACTCCTCTGACACGTTGATTGTCATTTTGCTATAAAAAAAATCTATTGTTGCTCATTTTATTATAAAAATGTTCTGTTGATTTTTTTTCTTGGAGGTTCACAGATGCTACCATCCCGGGTCAGGTTGGACCTGGAAAAAAAGCAACAGTTAAAATGTTGTTTCACGCTCCTGAAAACCTCCGATCAGAGGTCTTTACTGCCGGATGTAGCTTATCGTCATACCCAGGATGATCCTGTGTACATTGCATGGTGGGTTCTGAGTAGAACTGGTGGAACTAAAGAATGAAGCGCTCATCTGAACATTTGCCATGGGAACAGTGATAGAGTAACTATAGGCTAACGACGTTGCATCGTGCGTGAAAGTGTCTGAAATAAGTTACAAGACCGCGTAAATGATTATGGACTTTCTGTCAAGGTGGCAAAGGTGAGAAACACTGAAGAGACTGGAATTCATTCATCAAACACATACTAAGTTGCCGATGTTGAAAAATGTCTATGGCTGGCCAGCAGAAAGTGTTTGTGGCGACATTTAGGATTGATTTTTAAATTTATTAACACTGAACTTTGTCCAGATGCAAGAAATAAGGAGTGACCCTTAACAAAAAATAAGAAATGACCCTTCAAAAGAAATAAGGAGTGACTTTTAACAAGAAATAAGGAATGATGCTTCAAAGGAAATAAGGAGTGACCCATAACAAGTTATAAGGAATGACCCTTAGCAAGAAATAAGGAGTGACATTGTGTTCTCTTAATATTAATGCCATTGAAAAGGGCATGAATCAATCTGTCCAATCGCCAGTCTTCTATGTTCCAATCTCGATGCAGTAACCAATAGTGTGGCAACAACAATGTCCTTGAAACTTCTGCTCGTTCTATAAGCCGTGTACCCTCAGGACGTGTACGGCCACGGTAATTCTCAGGTTTATCTTTTCGCTAATCCATTCTAATCTCTGTTCTGCCAAGTATTTATACAAGCTCTCGTCATGTAGGTTATCAACTGATTTTCTCTGTCCAGTTTTCTTTCGATGCATCCAGTGAGCGTTAAATTCTCCAAGCCCTATTTCCTTATTCAGCTTCATAGAAATTTCAACTCTTTTTGATTCGAAGTACAGGGTCTCCATAAAGTTTCTTTACAATTTAGAAAATAATTTACAAAGATACAATTGATGAGATATCTTAATCAGATTTGTTCTATGTACGCAGTAGTTATCAATGTTGTTAATCATATTGTGTTTGTGTATTTTAAGTTTCCTGCTGCCGGGTGAATTAGAAGGGATGGCCCAATTCCCTGGCCACATTGTTCACCAGATATCACTCCACTGGACTTCTTTCTATGGGATTATGTGAAAGATATCGTGTATCAAACAAAGATACAGGACCTTACTGATCTAAAGCAAAAGATCACTGATGCCATTGCCACCATTGATGAGGCTATGCTACTGCGAACACGGCAAGAAATCAAGTGTTTAGTGCAACTAATGATGCCCTTATAGAAGTGTATTAAATTAGTTAAAAACAAATTCAACATCTACTTCTCATTTTGTAACAATTCCCACTTTCGATGTTCATTTGCTTTTATAATAAATATTTTATTTTGTAAAGAGACTTTATGGACACCCTGTATAAGTGACTTTCTGTTTCCTTTTTCGTTAAAACCTCTTCGTTACTCACATGTTCCGCCCATAATATGCTCACAATCTTTCTGTAGAATCACATTTCTGTTTTCTCAAGTCTGTCCTTCATCTGTGAGGTGACTGACAAGAATTCAATGTCATATAGGAAGAACAATATTACATAACAGATGAGTGCTTTTGGGGGGGTTTTGGTTTCTAACGATATTTTCCTGTTTTTTAATACTTTGCGTAGATTTTGGAAAGCACTTTCGCTACTCAAATGCACCTTCGGGTGCCAGTATCACGTTTTCTGTCCTCTGTTAAAACACTTCCGACATATTTTAACTTTCGTCCTTACTTGATTTCGATACCTCCTATTCATCGTTCGGATCGCAGGCTGTTCGCTGACAGCAATGCATTCTGTCTTCTTACAAGTGTTGCTTAGTCCTTATCGCTATCGTTTACTACTACCCTACCCCCCTACCACCCCCCTCCTCCCCCTCCCCCCCTCCTCTGTAGATGTTCCTGCAGTTCGCTTGTTGTGTCTGCTATTATCAAAAATGTGCCATCAGCATATCTTATGTTCTTAAGATTATGACCTTCCAACTCAGACTATTAAAATCGCTAGAGGGCGTGCCATTGACTGAATATAAAATCACCGCTATTCACGATAAAACGCTGATTTTTTGGAGTTGCTGAGCATGTTATTGACTGTAGTCGAACGATTGTGCTCACAAACAATTAAGAAATTCTTAGCAAAGCTTAATTGACAAAATAAATTCGGTCAGATACGTTAATATACCAATTATTCCTACCAAAAGAAGTGTGCAGTTTCGGAGAAATAAATGGTATATTGGAAAGTAGCTATCACGTTAGAAAATAATATTTGTTAAATGCACTGATTTGGAAATTGTTAAATAAAATTGATACGACGGAGAAGTCACTCGCTTGACCCTTTTTTTACGACCTTTTTTTTATTTGTCGGGGACATTGAAAGGTTCCTTTCTAAGAAACATCAAAGATTAATTAAGCTCGGACTGTTGATTTGAACATCTCGAAAACGTTGGGACAGTGTCTGGTATACCAGGTCATCTTCACAAGTTGAAAAGTTATGGTGTCTCCGGTAAAATTTTTGAACTGATCCAGTCTTTCTTATCAATTCGTGAAATGAACGTTATCCTGAAAGGCCACTCTTCTAGATCCTTTTGTATTAATGCAAGTGTCCCCAACCCCAGGGCTCTATCTTTGCTCCTGCTTTATTTTTAATTTTCATTAACGGCCTTCCCAATGGCATCAGCTCTTAATTTGGTATCTATGCTAAGACACAACCATTTACTCCTGTCTCGATAGTAAGTTCATTAAGGTCAACTTGGGGGCTGAAGTCATGAACGATCTTCAGTCGGTTGTTAACTAGAGCAAAGAATGGCTTGTTAATTTTAACGCCTCCTAAACGAAAGTGCTTTCTTGCAATTATCTGAGAGACCCTTTTCTGCCTTCCATCAGCAATGGCTGGTGCTGGCCTCCAGGAGAGTCTCATGTTGCGCCTTCTCGAGCTAATATTCTCGGCTGACATGAAGTGGAAAGACTATATTGAATCCATTGCTAGATCGGCTCTTAAGAAACTTGGTTCACAGTGTCGTTCTGGGCAATTTTTCTCTCCAGAATCTCTTAATTGCTGTTGTTCTCAGTGGGCAAATAGTGAGCTCCCCACCAAAAAAAAAAAAAAAATAAAAAATAAAAAAAAACACTATGAAAGTAAAAATATACATTTTTATAGTAACAATACCAATTTTTATAATAACAATACCAATATTTTTATATGAAACACTTGATCATGAAATAGATTTTATCTGTAGTTAAATGTATATAATTGCGTTCAAAATATATTTAATTGAAACCATAAGATTGTGCTCAAATTATGTTGATGTCGGCATTAAATAACCCATAGAGGTGTTGATATGCCGATATACAAAATCAACCAACATGAACTTTCATGACATTAATCTATATCATAAACTACAATTTGTTAAATCAAACTTTATTCCCAAATGACACAAAAAAAACGAAAAAAAAAAAAATAAAACACACATCCCACCGCCTCTTGTAATTGTCCACACAAATTGTATATGCAGAAAAACTGTATCTGTCTATATTTCTCTGATGAGGTATTATGTACATTATTTACATTATTCAGACTATTTTCCTCATCTTTGTCGTCATATTTATTACAACGTTTCGGCCGTTGTACGCTCCGGCCTTCTTCAGGATACATGACACAGTGGATAAAGGCGTTGGTTAGATCCAATGACAGGACCCAAAGAGTGTGAGTTCAATACTCGGTTAAAGCAGTAGAGAACTTTCAGAGGGAAATTAACAGGAGATAACTGATAACTGACATCCATTAAACATGGCACGTGGAACTAGAACAGTTTACCCCAGTGAGCGAAATAAAGGGTTCAGTTCGACATTCCAACCACCTGAAGAAGGCCGAAACGTTGTAATAAATATTGCGACAAAGATGAGGACAATAGTCCGAATAATGTAAATAATGTGCTTAAAAGCCGAGTATCATCTACCATGTATTCAGTTGTGAAAGCAGAATAACATTTTTATTACTTCAAAGCTTCTAAGAAAATTAAATTTCGGCATTAAATGACCCATAATATGTTGATATGCCGTTAAACAGATCAACCAACTAATTATATTGATTGACTAAGCCGTTTTAAAATTTTTGTCTACGAAGGAGTCGGTACCTTTTGCAAGAAGACAACGAAGAAACTTAATAGAGGCTTTCCAGTGAATTGACTGATGGATCGTGGAATAGGGTTTATGGTATTTTTGAGAGTCGTTGGCGGATTCATTCTTGCATTACAGGTGGGCGCCTGAAATTTTCAGGCTGCATATATTACTGGGATACTGTTGCCTGAAAAATAAGTTGCTACCTAAGAGATAGTACCCTATCCTTCTGGACTCAAGACTCATTTTATAGTCAAAAATGTTGTTCGTATCTCACACGCAGTCGTAGCTACAAAAGCCCTTTCCGTCACAAACACATCACATCTTCAAAACTATCAATGAACTGTTGTCGCTAATCTTTTGATATGCCTGTTTGCGTATAAAAACACACAAAATGGTTCATCGATACATTTGCAGCTACATTACTTCTTTTCCTATTACGTTACACATGCATCATCCTGCTGAGTCGATTTATAGAGATTGGCGAACGAATGTATTAGTTTATATAATATTTTTATAAAAAGAAGTGACAAAGTCAGTTTAATTTTTTATTGTTTTTTTTTGCAATTTTCGAATAAGGTATTGCGTATTGTACTTGAAGTTGTGGATAAACTGTCCAAAGTTCATATTTTGTTATTTTTGTTCAAGTACTTTCGACTTTCAGTCATTATCAAGAAGTGGTATGGTGTCTATGTATTATTTAGAATTCCTTTGTTTGCATCCAGGTATTCTTTGGGAACTGAACATTTGAAATGGTCTGGCGTGACGTCATGTGTAACGGTTATTGGGGAGAGGACGCACAAAATGAATGCGATTTATTTATTTTATTTTATTTAAATTTTTATTTTTTATTTTAATTTATTTTTTATTATTATAAAACTGATAAATTAAGTGCGGACCTTAATTATATGATATGTACTTGAAGATATCATCTCCTGTGGTGAATGTTATTTTATTTAATGTGGGCTGCTTATTTTGTACAATAATAGCTTCTAGAATTTTGAGTCTTTCTTTGCATTGGGTGCTGTAGAGTATTTTGATGTTATCCACTAAGATTTGTCTGATGTTGATAGTTGTACTTTGGTCGTTCTTGCTGAGCTGGTCGATGGGTTTGCACAATGTTTCGACAGGTGACAGGTCAATCTGCTAGAGAGTGTGATGCATGTGTTCCTAATGTAAGTATTTAATCTTCTGATTTTTTATTAGTGTTGGAGATGCAATCTTCCCATTTAGATTATTGATTGATATGTGCCGGTGAATTACGTTTTTAATTCCTTTTTTCATCCTGCTTATAATTAGGGTGCATTTAGTTATGATAGAATAATTTAATAGTCATTTTTCTAA